TTAAAAACGAGCTGTGTATTACAACTATTTATAATAATTCCAGCATTTCAAATATTGAATACAAGCTAAAGTCAGTCATAGATGAAAAAATTTCCAAATTTGAATCTGTTTTTATATGCGGCGATATGAACGCACGAGTGGGGGATGCACAAGTATGTAATGAAGGATCAGTGTTTGTGACAAGAAAATCCGAAGATAAGAATGTGAATGAAAACGGCAAAAATCTATTAAAGATCTGTGAGGATTTAGGTTTAGTTCTTCTGAATGGAAGAATAAAAGGAGATGAAAAAGGCAAAATCACATATGTCGGTGGTAATAATACGTTCCAAGGTTCAGTCATTAATCTAGTGTTTATGGTAGATCGCGACAACATACAAATAGTTGAAAGACTTGAGATTATAGATAGAATCGAATCTGATCATCTCCCAGTTGCTTTCAAAATTAGTGTGAATACCAAAAATGTGGATCGAAATGTTAACAGAGAAACTGACAATAATTATAAAAGGGAAAAGATTATATGGGATAATGAAAAAGCTCAAAAGTTTAGAGATAGGATTAGAGAGGTTATAAAGAACTTTGAAGTTGAAGATGATGAAAATTACGATTGGATAAATATTAAACTATCAATATGGAAAGCTGCAAGAGATGCGGGAATGACGAAATGGATAGGAGGTGAAAGAGCTGAAGCTCCGATAAGAGGATATAATAAGTATACGGAAGAATCCAAAGAAATAAGAAAAGAAATGTGGTTATTTCTAAAAGATTGGCTCAGTGATAAAACTACTGAGAAAAAAGATAAACTGATCGAGTGTAGGAAAAGATTAAAGAAAAATTTAAAAGATGAGAGACAGAAATGGTTAAATGAAAGGTCGGAAGAAATAAACAAAGCTAGAGACATGTCTGCATGGTGGAAAGCTATCAACAAATTTAGGTCTTCTAAGAGATTGACGACACACAACGACATCGAGGACAACCAATGGATAAACCACTTTGAAAGTCTACTAAAGAAAGGACTATCAAATGAATTATTTGAGGAATTAAAGGAGCAACCTTGGTTGGAAGACTTAGAAAAACCTTTGGGTTCCATCGATGATAGTTTAGATACGGACATTGTGCTCAATGAAGTATCAGATGCAATAAGAAGAATGGCCAACGGCAAGGCTACAGAAGAAGATGAAATCCCGATTGAATGCCTGAAGATTTTTAGTAGTGAAGATATTGAGACATTAACTGCAACTTTAAACAAGATATGGAAAGAAAATAAATTGCCAGTTGGGTGGGACAAAGACAGAATAGTGACTATTTACAAAGATGGTGATGTAAACAATGTGCAAAATTATAGAGGGATTTCTTTACTGGATTCGGGATACAAAATACTGACGAATATACTGTCAGAAAGAATAAATACTTGGATTGAAAGAGGTAAAATTCTCAAAGAGAGCCAAGCTGGCTTTAGGAAAGGTCGAGGTGCAAGGGATCACATTTTTGTACTCAACACGATCATAAATGCAAAATTGAAAGTAAGAAGAGGCAGACTCTATGTTGCCTTTATCGACTATCAAAAAGCCTTCGACACGGTAAATAGAAATATTATGTTTCGAAAGATATGGGAACTTGGAATCAGAGGAAGGCTACATGCAATGATTCGAGAAATTTATCGAGAAACAAAAGTGGAAATTCAGATTGGCCAAAGATTTTCGAGAGAATTTGACGTCGACACTGGTGTTAGACAAGGTTGTGCATTGAGTTCTGTTGTATTTAACATTCACATTGATGATATAGATGACATTTGGGTGAAAAAGGAAGATGGAGGTACAGTGACAGGAAAAACCAAAATTAGAATTGTCAAATACGCGGATGATATTGCAATTGTAGCAAATGAAGGGAAAGAGTTAGAAAAATGTTAAAAACTTTAGAAAAATATGTGGACGAAAATGAATTAATGGTAAATACAGGCAAGACCAAAGTGATGGTTTTTAGAAATGGAGGGAAGAGGAAGCAAAACGAATTAAAAAAAAAAAATACGAATTTAAATATTTGGGTTATTGGTTAACAACGAAGAACAGTCTAGAAAAACAGATCAAAACAATGGCAGGAAAAGCGCAGAAAGCTGCAAATGCAACCTGGGGATTGATGAAGAGATCTGGCAGAGATAAGATGACTGATCGAATGCACCTCATGAATTCTATGGTTGGGGCAGTTGCTCTCTATGGAGTAGAGACATGGGGATGGGAAAATATCAAAAATATTAATAAAATTCAAGGAAGGTTCTGTAAAATGGCACTGGGAGTTTCTAGAAATACACCAATGTATATATGGAGACCAGAATTGGGGGTAATGGGATTCGAATTCACAGGAAGAGAGAGAGCCTATAGATATTTTAGAGACATCATGAGAATGAGCAACGATAGATGGCCGAAATTGTGTCTTAGAGAAGAGATGAGAGTAATTCTGAATGGGAATCCTTCCAGTTGGGGAAAAAAGGTGAATGACGTATTAAATGATTTGGATGCTACTGATGTTTGCAGATTAATTTGGGAGGGTGGTGATGCGAATGTTATATACCGCAAACTACGAGAAGGGCTAGTAAATTGGTGGAACCATCAGCTGGCGCTAGAACTTGATGCAATTTGTAACTCATCTTTTAATAAACTTTACAAGGAAATTCTGTCAGGATCAAAAGGAGCAGTTTACTGGGGTGAAACAGTAAAAATTAAAGAGTACAAGGAAATTTGGGCACGAATAAGATGTGGCAACATTGGAAGAGCATTCAAGAAGGGCTACAGTGATTGGTCGTGTAGGTTTTGTGCGTTTAGAGAAGAAACATTAACTCATTTATTTATGTGTCCTGAGGTGCTAAGAGTACAAGAAAAAAATACCAAAATTGCTATACTGAATTGGAGAGGCGATTTAGGAGAAGAAAAATTAAAAGATCTATTAATAGAAACTTTAAATGGAAATATAAATGAAGTTCTCTGTGTATATATTAATGTTGTTGAAAACATTTTAAGAAATGTAAAAAATCCTTTGAATGTTTAATATAATTGTAAGCAAATTGTAAAAATTCCAAAGTGGATATACAATGACGCGTTTAATTTTAAAAATTTGGACTGCAAAAAATTTTACGACTTAGTTTTGAAAAATTAACCGCTTTTGTCTGAAGTGGGTAAGTCTTAAAAATATAATGTAAAATAAGAAAAGTATTAAACAGGTTTTTTTCTAGATCTAATGAAAATTTTAGAAAATGTTATTTATCAATGTTTATTAATTTATATAATAAAAAGTATACTTATATGTAACAATGAGTATTGTCTTTTTCTCAATAATTGATTTAAAAAATCAATTATGTTTATTCGAAACAAAATATATGGTTATTGACTTCCACCATAACTGCAATAGTGTCCGGGTTTGTCCTCTTTTTTAAATATGTATAGTCATACTTTTAAAAAAATAATTATGGTCACCCTAAATGATTTAATATTTATGAAACTCAACTCTAAATGAAAAATAACAATCAAATTTTATATATCCACAGATCAAATAAACTTTTCTCTACAATTTTATTACACTTCTTTCTACAAATTTATATTTTACTCTTACTTTTTGTTTATTTTATCATGCAACTAAAAAAACGTGTCTATACTGCACGCACGCCCTCTAGCGTCTCTCCAGACCAAAAGAGTTTAAAAATCTTATTCCGTTCGTGAGATATCATTATAAACGTCCGAGCATGTTTTTTGACAAATGCATTGAATTAGTCGATTTTGAACGATTTTAGGCTGAAAATACTCGGCCGTTTATAATGATATTTCGCTAACCGATTAAGATTTTTGAACTCTCTTGGTCTTAAATTAAAGATGAGACTTAAATGATCACTCTTATGTAAGTTTTAAAATTTTTCTACAATTTTTAAAAAATGTGCAGGGGTTGAAAAAATTTCCAAAAAAATTTTATTTTTTAAATTTTTTTGTCAAATTTGTCGATTGCTGCAATCTTTGTATAAATTATTAAAATTTTCAGTTATGTATCATTAATCGTAGAATTTAATAATCTTTTGAATGGTGTATTTGTTAATTTTCTGACTTTTGTATTTACAAAAATATCGTGATTTATAGATTGGTATGTCTTTAGTCCGTGCGCGTGCAGCCGTACCGATAATTCCCGACGATAGTGTATATTTATAGTAGTTTGTTTTATTCTTCGTCGTTCAAAATAGTTCAATTATATTTTACGAATTTTCGTAAAGAAATACATTAAAAAAACTTTTCAAAACTTTCTTTTGATCTTCCCTCTCTTTTCATAGAAAAAGAAAGAAGAAGAAAAATGATCAAAGTCCTCGAGATTATTTCCTCGATCCTTTTATAATAAATGTCTGCTCAATTTAATTTGAATTTTCATTTTAAGAATTGTCTTTTATAGTGAAATTGAATTGCGATTTAAAGTTGGAGTAAAAAAAGTTTAATACGATTTTTTTTTTCGTAAATTGGAAGCAATTAAAAAAAATTGAAATCCAATTATTTGTATAAAAATACATCGATATAGTTAAAATTGTAATTGTTTTATTTCAAACCCCGAGAGAGATTATAATTAAAATGTATTTAATCTCATCTCACGAAAATTCTAATTTACTGTTTAGTAAAGTTTTCCTTAAAAATATGAAAAAGAATGAGACACTAGTTTTTAATTTTTTTTACTGTGACACAAATTTATTGTAATTAAAATTTAATTTAAAGAAGAAATAAATAAATGTCGTTCAGTTGAAAGTTTAGAACATTGAGTTTTAAATTTAATATGTTTGTTTATTATTAATTTAGAATATTTTTATTGTTATTTGTTATTAGAATTTTTGAATTTGTAATTTGTGAAAAATGGGAAATTGTTTTTCTTTTTGATTTAATGGAGTTTTTCCCCTCTTTATTGAAGTGAATATTTTGTTCTTTTTCTTTCTTTTCTTATTATGTTATAAATATAAATTATGTGCACTTTTCTAATGTACTGACTTTATAAGCATCCTTGATATTTATGATTTGTTTGCTTTGTGCCACGTAGCCAGCGATGCCAACACCAAAGGGAATTTTGATCTCCTCGTTTTTCGCTTTCTGAATTGCCACATCCAACTCAGTGTCCTGCGTGACGTCGAATAACTTTGCAACGAGATATCTATCCTCGGGAGGGCCTTTTGCCAGGAATAAACTACCCCTGTCCGCATGAGTGAGTAAACCAACATTAACGAGAATTTTATGACAAAGAATATTGATATCCAACTCATTAGCAACGTCTCGTATCAATTCCATGAAAAGTTCTCCTTCGTCCAATCGATTTAATTCCTCCCGCCGTCCCATTAATGTCATTGAGGTCCTAAAAAGAATTATTTCCTTATTAAACATTTCAAGGTCATTTATTTATAAATCATTTTTTTATCCCACATGCACAAAAATGGGGCTTTTAGATAGTTGAAGACAGGGCTTCAACACATTCATTTGTTCCACTGTATTAAATTGGTGCTCATTTTTACCCTAGGGTAAAAATAGACGCCATACACTGTAAAAAAGGGAGTTAAATTTTAACTCCCCAGGGGAGTCTATAAAAGTCGCACCCATTGGAGAGTTAATGTCAGGGGAGTTAAATAAAGAGAGTTGAAATTTAACACCCAAATGCTAACTCCCCATGGAAAAAATAACTCGCGCGGGTGTTGAATGAAGGGAGTTAGAAATTAACTATCTTTTGGAGTTGATTTTTAACTTGAAAAATTTAACTCTCGAGTCCGTTAACTCCCTAAATTTTTTACAGTGTATTGATGCATGTCGAACATATGAATGATTTTTATTCTCTGTCGTCTACTATCTGAAATCGCCACTTTTGTGCCTGTGGAATAAAAAATATCAAAGTAACACGGAAACAAATGGATGTCTTTGTTCCCTTAAGATGCCATTTGTTATTTAAAAAAACGTTTCTTGACGTTGAGCGTCGACGCTAACTTCAGGGAACTGAAAATTTGTTACTTTTTTCATCTCTTTTTTATTTTATTCATCTTATTGAGAAATATTAAAATATTGAAATTTTATAATTTAAATAAGTAATTGGAGAGGATAATTAAAAAATACTAAATAATTAATTTCTATTAATAATTTAATTAATTTTATTATAAGTATAAACAATTACCAAGAATTATTATAAACAAATAGAAATGTGATTGACAAATCAAAATTTTATGAAAATTTTTTTCTATTATTTTATATAAGTTTTTGACATGAGAAAATTCTAGCACGTGCTTTTATAAAGAGTAATTTGAATGTTTTTTTTTATGTTTCATGATGTCTTGTAATTTTTGTATGTTTGTTTTTATAATTTTGTATTATTTTGTTTTAATGTTTTTTTATATATTATGTATTACTTCAAATGTGAAGAGGATACTGAGAATGTTAAACACGTGTTATTAACAGTGTAATATATTCTTGAAAAGGCCCCACTTCGTAGAGGCGAAAGCTCGATAAAAAATAATAATCATATTGATCAGTTCTTTGACAATTAATAAACATCTTTGACAATAATTAATTGTGGATGGAAATTTTGTTTGGATATTTAAAAAGTAGTTATGTTGTAAATTTTGTTTATTATAAATCCATAATTTATTATACTCCCAGCTGAATAAACTGGGAACTCTAAAATTTGTTTTAGAAAAATTAGAATCTGACGTTTTAAAGAAACTCGGGTTTACGTATTTGTTTTATTTCAGATATGTTGACGAAATTTTTACTTGTGTAGAAGAGCATAACATCGCTCGAATATTATCTGAATTTAACAAGTACAATGAAGACCTACAATTCACCATAGAAGTTGAGGTTAACAATAGTTTAAGTTTTTTAGATGTTCTTATAATACGTGAAAACAATAAACTTGTTACTAACTGGTTTAGAAAGGGCACCTTTTCTGGGCGATATGTCAACTTCAACTCAGATATGTCTATGAAAGATAAGATATCGATTATATATGGGCTTACAGACAGAAGTGTAAAACTTTCCGACGTAAGATTTTATGAAGAAAATTTGAAAATTGTTTTTAACATCCTCAGGCGGAACGATTACCCTGCTTGGTTTATTAATAAATTTATTAATTTAAGATTTCAAAAAATATTTAATGAAAATAATGATAATAATTTAGTTTCTGATACAAACAAATTTATTGTTTTACCTTTTGTTGACGAATTATCATATTTTTATAAAAACCTTTTTAAAGACTCAGGTTTGAAAGTAGTCTTCACGTATGAGAGAGACCCTTTCAGGTGTTTTTCTAAGAATAAAGATCAGACTATTTTCAGATATAGAAACCATGTAGTATATAATATCCCATGTCAATATGGTGTATGCTACATTGGAGAGACGAGTAGATATATTACTGATCGAATGAATGAGCATAGAAGAGATTGCAAAAATGGTGACAGAAAGAAATCCTCATTGGTAGTACATTCACAGGACAATGATCATTTTTTTCAATTTGATAATGTGAAAATAATTTGTAATGAAACCAATTTCAGACGTAGAAAATTTAAAGAAAGTTTTCATATTATTAAAAATAACAACTCTATTAATAAAAAGTCAGAAATTGTTTCTGTGAGTAATATTTATCACTCATTGATCCATAATACAAATTAAGTTCTTGATAGTTTGATGATTCATTAATTTATATGGGCATATTTCTAGAACTTTTAAACTTTATTTTTCCGTTTATTATTATATTTAAAAAATTAAAAAAATAATTTTGCAGTACCATAATCTGATAAATTATTGTGCTCTTTAAATATACCTTGTGTATAATAATCATTTTAATTAGGTAGGGAACGACAAAAGTAAGTAAAAGTGACGAAATCGCCAGTTTCTCGTGTGTGACATTGACTAGTCAATGTAAAAATGACATAAGGCCGGCAACACCCTGGGTAAAGGTTTCAAAAAGCAAGTGAAAACCTTGGTGCAACGCCGGGACAACTAAGATCTACACTCTGGCGCCACCCTGGCTTATGAACGTTTCCCAGGCAATGGGAAAAGCTTGTTTTACCGCAGCTGAAGAACTTTGAATTTTTTTCAATTTTATACAATTGCCAACACCACGACAACCGTGGGATCAGATTTTGCCGTTCTAAAGGTAGTTCCCTAGTAGAAATTTGTCGTGGCATGACTAGATTTATTCAAGTTACTGTACAGTTTTAGTCATGGAAGTTTAATCTAGCTTAACTGGCGAATTACTAGACAGCTACTGCATAACACTGTTAAAGAAAATATAAAGTTGAACTTGATTATTACTGCATAGAAGTCCTGTACAGTTATTTTCATGGCACTGTCGAGGCGTTCCGAGAAATGATGTTCCAAAGTTTGTCGTGGCGTTAGCGCTACCGCCAGTTTCAGTAACTAAACAGTTGTGTATTGACATTTTCGAAATATTTTCTATAAAATAAATCTTTTGGTTTTACAGTTTATAGTTTTTATAATTTTAATTTTGTTCTTTTATTTTACTGTTGACAACTAAATAACAAATTTTTTAAATTATTTAATATTAAAATTTTGATTTAATAATAAAAATTTCTTTTCAATCAAAATTTATTTTTAATGAAAATTCCTTTAGAAAAAAAAAATTTTTTTAAAATTCGCTTCAATTAATTGAGTTAATTAAAATAACTAATTTTTTAAATTCAGAAGACAATTTCTTTTCAAGATTATATACTCTTATTATATGTATAAATATTAATTTAACAAACCTGTTACATACAAAAAGTTAGAATTGGTCCAATAAAGTGAGGTTATGTTTTACATTGATGAATTGACGTTGACATATGTATAGCTCTCCGATCTGAATAACAGAACTGTCTATAATTAATGACAGTACACGGAGAAAAAAATCAGGGCTTTTTAGCATGGAGTGGTCTGTACCTTTAGCGCATGGGCGCTTTCTTACGGCGAAAGAACGAATTTGTACGATTGCAGCAAGAGCTCGCCCTATTTTAGTAAGGAGCCTTGCTGCAATCGTACGAGTTCGTTCTTTCGCCGCAAGGAAGCGCCCATGCGCTAAAGGTACAGACCACTCCATGCTACAAAGCCCTGATTTTTTTCTCCGTGTAGACAGTAACAATTTATTACTAATTCCTTACGGAAAAAATAGACATAATTCTAGTTACACCCGCGAATTATTTCTTTCAGTGTATACTCTGATGTATTTATGGAAAATGTCTACACAACACTGTTCAGTTGCTGGACTGACGGTAGCGCTAACGCCACGACAAACTTTGAAACATAATTTCACGGAACGCCTAGACAGTACCATGAGAATAACTGGACAGACAGAACTTCTATACAGTAATAATCAATAAGTTCAACTTTAGAGTGTTATGCAGTAGCTGTCCAGTAATTCGCCAGTTGAGCTAGAAAAGATGAAAAAGGGAACTGCTTTACCTGCCGGTAGAGTATGGTTCTTATTTTTCCGGAATCGTCCATCGACTAGAACGGCCGTGATGCGTAAAGCGTGCGTTTAGGTATTTCGTCCCAGTGTGACCCGAGTTCGCTCCCCGAAACCGCTAGATATTTTTCGTTTGAACTGAATTAATTCTTCATATTAGGGTTTACTTATAAGTTTGTAGTGTGATAAAATAATAATATTTATTTCAGTGTTGTGCTTAATTAAAGGAAAAAGTGAATGTTGTTTAATGTAAAAAAATGACATGTGTTCAAGAATCAGTAATTTTTATATTTTTTTTTAATTATGTAGTTATTTAAAAATAATTTTACAGATAATTTATTATAAATCATTTATTATACGGAACAATAGATACACCAACAGTAAAAATATAGTTTCGTAAAATTTTAATTTATTTAATTTGTTGACAAAAAAATTTAACGTTATATTTTCAAATTTGTACGTGTTTAATACGTAACGTCAATATAAAGAAAGTTTTGACATTTCCAAGTGAATTATTTTGTATAGTTTTTCTACAGGACTGATGATCAGAAACTGTAAAATTTGACTGGACAATAACTTGAAGAAATTAGCGTGACATCACTTTATAGTTTTTAGCCAGTTTAACTGTAAAGTGCCTCGAAATTTTCCAGTGGAACTGTCCAGTGCCCTTAAAGATACTATGACAAATTTCTACTAGGGTTGAAACCGTGGCTGATTAACTTTAAATTTTTTTTCAATTTTTTTTACATTTTTCAACACCGGGACAACCCTGGGATCACTTTCTTCTTACCTTAAGATTGCCAAAACCGCGGCTGAAGAACTTTGAATTTTTTTTCAATTTTTTTACATTTTCCAACACTGGGACAACCCTGGGATCAGATTTTTCCTTTCTTAAGGTCGCTAAAACCGTGGCT